CCACAACACGTGGACGTGTCGCCCCCTCGTGCAACACGTGTGTAGGTACACACACGTGTGCGTGCGTGTGCGTACCTACACACACACACGCGTGTGTGCGTGCCGACACCCAAAACAAATACAAAGATCCCCCTTATAGCCTGAACAGACTTTTGGGGCAAGTGCTGTTAGCGAGTAGCACCTATGAAGGCCGGCACAGCAGACGAGGGGGTGGGTGGCCACCACCACGCCTGACCGCCTTTGTCTCCCCAGTTGCGATGTTTACACACCGCAACCAGGTACTCATTTGGAGGCCGAGTCGACCTAGAGGAGGCCCATGATCGACTCCGATAATCCTCACCGGTGTTGGCCGTGAGCGGGAATCGAACTCGGGTCGCCGGGTTCGTAGGGCAGCGATAACCGCTACACAAACACGTGGCTACACTAACACATGTGGCTACACACACATGTAGCTACACAAACACACGTGGCTACACAAACACACACGTAGCTACACAAACACACGTGGCTACACAAAAACACACATGTGGCTACACACACACGTAGCTACACAAACACAAACACACATGTGGCTACACACACACGTAGCTACACAAACACACACACACACGCGTGGCTACACAAACACACGTGGCTACACACACACGTAGCTACACAAACACACACACACACGTGGCTACACAAGCACACAAACACACGCTTGGCTACACAAACACAAACACACGTGGCTACACAAACACACACACACGTGATTACACAAACACACACACGTGGCTACACAAACACACACACGTGATTACACAAACACACACACGTAGCTACACAAACACACACACGTGGCTACACAAACACACGTGGCTACACAAACACACACACGTGGCTACACAAACACACACACACGTGGCTACACAAACACACACACGTGGCTACACAAACACACACACACGTGGCTACACAAACACAAACACACGTGGCTACACAAACACACACGCTTGGCTACACAAACACACAAACACACGTGGCTACACAAACACACAAACACACACACGTGGAACTAGCGCAGTGTTTTGCACTAACTTTAAGGGGAGCGGAGTGGGGGGCGAAGACTTTCGCCGATAAGACATCGTCAGTAGTGTGAGGGTGCCGCTACACCATTTCAAACCATTCAGTGATTTGACAGCAGAACGATGATGATGATGATGATTGGGGGAGGGGGGGGGTGTCACGTGTCGTCTATTGTCAGCGAGGGCCGCACGCCATTGGGCCGCACTGAAGGCCATCAGGGGCCGTCAGTGGCCCGTGGACCTCGCAATGCAGAACGCCGTGGTTGAGTGAATTTAGTAGCGAACCTGTGACCAACCCCTCCCCCCCGTCACGGTCCACCCCGTAGTTTTGTTGTGCAGGGGAAAAATAAAAATCTCGGGTCCGTACGGTTTACGAGGACGTGTTCATACGAGGACAATGTACGTTTGACTTTTCGTGTTTGCGTTTCTCCCTCGTGTGACGGTGACTTTGTAGGATTGACAGGTATGTAGTGGTGAGTGTACACGTGGTGCGTGTAGTGGTGAGTGTACTAGTACGAGTAGGGGGCCGTCCATAAATGACGTCACGCACCTAGGGGGGGTGTCAGACATTTGTGACGAGGAGGGGGGGGGGGGGTGAGAAATGTGACGTCACATCAAAATGCGCAACTTTAAATAGACAACACGTTCTACTAAATATACTTTTTAATGTTTTCTCCTACAACATCAGAGTGCAGCGCCACATTGAATACGCACGACAATAGATTAAGCGATTTGAAGCATGTTCTATATATTTTTTTGGGGGGGGGCAGAGCTTTGTGACGTCATATTTGAGGGGGGGGGTCTGACTTTTTGTGACGCCGTGTGACTGGGAGGGGGGGGGGGAGCGCAAAAATCTTCCAAAATCGCGTGGCGTCATTTATGGACGGCCCCCAAGTGGTGCCTATTTGCTTGTGTTTCTCTCATCAAGGGACTTTATTGGATGAACGTTGAGATGTATTGGGTCCATGGGGCAATCAGCAAGGTAGGCAATGATAAGGGGGTTGGACGGGCACGCAGTAGTGAATGTACAATCGCATTCGTCATTTTGTAATCGGGAGAGCATAGCGAGCGCGAATCGGAGCGGGGTAACAAAATTAACGCTCTCCCCCCCCCCCACCCCCGGCCCTCGCATTGGAAGCGTGAATGAATGAGAGCGGATAAAGTGTCACGTGCTCGAGCCCACGGGCTACTGCTTGAAGGGTCACCGTCGAGTTGACGCGTTGCCGTGCGCGACGCAGCGCACGTGATCCCCGGGCGTCGCCCGACAATTGCGCTCCGTGCATGATGGGGGGTCTATTCGTTTTAAAAATAAAATGACATCGTTGTACCGTACTTCCAAGCTCCCACGCAGATGCCCACCCACCCCCATTCCCTTCGCCTGTAAATAAACTAGCACTAAACCAGGTGTGGTCAAGTATGGGTACACCACCGTAGCCTTGCCAGGGATGCGTTTGTGTGTGCGTTTTTTTTCTTATTTGAGCGTCTTACAATTAAGCCACTTTGAGCGGGAAAGCCACTAAACTCACCGCAGCACGCACTCGGTACTTACAAGTACACTCTTTGGTTCTATTCGGTAAAGTCACGTAGGTAAAAAAATAAAACAAAAATCACGACGTTTCGGCCACAACACAAGCGGCCTTCATCAGGTGAAGGGATCAGGCTGTCTCGAGGACAGCGCTGGAGTGGAACACAGCCAAGCTCAGACCGCGACCTTTAATTAAGCAACCATTGGAAAGATGTTCTAAATCGAACCAAACATTAAACTAATTTTCAATGGTACAGTATATTTTTCAAACTTTCGCAGCTCTTAAATTCCCTTTTCACACCATCAATAGGTAAACTCCCCCGCGCCATCCGGCATGTGCACTTGCATGTACACCATTTCAATGCTAAGTCGGGCAATCAAATGCTAATTTTTTTATGCTAATTCCTTTGTCAAGGCACCTTGTTTCCTCGCACACAGCTTAAAGGTCCGCGGTCTGAGCGTGGCTGTGTTTCAACTCCAGCGCTGTCCTCGAGACAGCCCGATCTCCCTTCACCCGATGAAGGCCGCTTGTGTTGTGGCCAAAACGTCGTGACTTTACCGAATAGAACAAAAGAGTACTTTACAAGTATAGTTCATCGATTTATTCGACACGAATTCCCGGGCAGCGTCCGAGAATCGTGAGCACGCGCCCGCACAAACAATCGCGAGGAGGGGCCCGAGGTGTGCGCGTCTCTAGTGGTGGATGGGGGTGGCACGACGGACGATGGGCCAATATGATCACAGTGTTGTAATTATTATTGTAAACATGCCAAGTCCGTACGCCAAATAACCCTTATTAACGTGTCACAGCACTTTAGCGAAACAAATATCAATGATTAAAGCGATAGCCCACGCCCTCCCTCCCTCCCTCCGGAAAGCTTAAGATAATTTTCGATTTGAAGCTTTCGTAACTGCAAGGATTCATCTTCTTTGGTTCTTTCGGTAAAAAAAATCACGTAGAATGAGAATAAAATAATAAAATAACACCATAAAATTCTCACGACGTTTCGGCCACAACGCAAGCGGCCGTCTTCAGGTGAAAGGTACAGACCTGTCGGGACGACAGAGCTTCAATAAATGTCGTCCCGACAGTTCTGTACCTTTCACCTGAAGACGGCCGCTTGCGTTGTGGCCGAAACGTCGTGAGAATTTTATTGTGCTATTTTATTATCTTATTCTCATTCTACGTGACTTACCGAAAGAACCTTAAGATAATTTTTAGGAGTGGGCCCGTACTGCCTTCAAAACAACAACAACATTAAGTGCACGCCACCTGGGAATGTCTCGTGAACGAAGTCGAACAAACGGCGTCGCTACGGGTTGATGCGTTCGACGGCTGCCGTGAACGTTCACGAGGGCTCGCTCGACGTTGTTGTTGTTGTTGTCTTTTTAGCAGAGTCATTCTGTTGACTTGTGGTGAACTTGCGTGCGTTTTTACACACATTTTGGAATAGGTTAAAAAAACAACCGCACAGCTTAACAGCGTCCCTCGACTGCGACACCACCCACACAAGCGGATTCCCCCCTCCATGTGGGCAGTGAAGCAAACCCGGTCTCACACAAAGACAAAGACACCCAACCCCGTATAGCCTTAACAGACTGTTGGGGCAAGTGATATTAGCGAGCAGCACCTAGGAAGGCCGGCACGGCACACGAGGGGGTGGGTGGCCAGCACCACGCCCGGCCGCCTTTGTTACGATCCTTCACGCACACCGCACCAGGCAATCATTCGAGGCCGAGTTGACCAAGTGGACAGGCCTCCCCCCCCCCTACATGTGTAGTAGCTACTACTACATGTGTAATAGCCAAGGGCCCCCGCACTTTCAAGGGCCCCACGCTAAATGCTTTCAAGCAATCAATTCCGGTTCATTGATTACCGTAGTACTATACCGCCTTCAACTTTTGTTAACGACTGGGTTGTTTAAAGCTAGCGATTTGTCGTATTATCGGGCTGTATAGCAAATGAAAAAAAATACAATCACTTTACTGAAAATAACATTTAACTATGTAGGTGTTTTTACTTCTTTATTTATGACCCCTTTATAACATCTGCTACAAGCCCCGCACTAACTTAATCCGGCACTCGGTGGGGGGGGGGGGGTCCCCCAAACCTGTTTCTCTGGACCACTGCTAGTCTCCGCGCAAGGTGCGTGTGGGGGTGGTAGCGATCTGCACAACCATTGCCGATTCACTGCGGGAGACGTTCGCTTGCTCGAGAACGCAAACCGCCGTCGACCGCACCCGTGCATTGGTGACGCGCGAATCGTGTCCCCAGCGATGTCATCGAATTGAGTTGAGAACCATCGGGTGGACTTCCTCCTCCACTCCCCCCCCCCACCCCCCCCACCTCGTCAGCTCTGTAACGCGACAACAAAGTGTGGTGGGGGGGGGGGTGGCATTCCCCATGAAGCTCTGCTCCACCGCTGGATGGAGACGCGGTCAGAGCGGCCGTGGTGGTGGCCGTGCAAGGGTTGGCGGCGGTGGCTGCGTCGATTCGCTCCGTCAGCGCTTGACGACGAGCGAGACGATGAAGACGAGGAGCAGCAGGAAGAGCAGCACCATGAGGATGACGGTGATCACGACCATGCCGCCCGATCGTCCGCCAAACACCGGCACGCTCGCGGGCATCCCACTGGGCTCTGTGGGACAACCACCCCAGCAAAGCGAGCCACAACATCGTGGCGTGTCAGCAACGTTCGCCGATGCACCAGCCGATGCACCAGCCAATGCACCAGCCGATGCACCAGCCGATGCACCAGCCAATGCCCCAGCCGTTCTTAACGTGTTTTTGCTACAACTGTACCCCCCCTTAAAAAATATTATTTTTATAAAAATAAAATATTTCATTTACTTTTTGTTTTTATTATTCTTTTTTTATCTACGTGGTTTACCGAAAGCACCAAAGCATATGTACCCCCCTTGTTGAATTTTGTTTCAATCAAGTATTCCCCCCCCTCTCCCCCCCTTGCCAGACCCAACAAGGTTCCGAAAAATAAAAAAAGCATGAATAACAACGAGCATCAATAGTTGTAACAAATTGTCCCATTTTGTGAGGTATCCCGACTTGGCTAGTAACTGCAAGTGAAGAACAAAACTAAAATATCAACGGACACTGCACGCGTGATGTAATTTGTTCACGCTCGCCCGTTTCTCTTGGAAACCCAACAAAATTGTTTACGATCAATGAGTTTAGAAATGACTCTTCTAAAATCGTTCTAGGTTACCATGTGGATTTCAATTTTTTTAAAAATCGTAGTTATTTTATATTGACAGTCATACAAACACGATTATTTACCAATAGACTTTCGTGAGCGATATAATTTTTACAACCTTTATAAATCACCTTAGCGTACCACCCCCCGACCCCCCCCCCCCGGGACATTACCACCATTAACCGACTCCCCTCATCGAACCCACGACCCCCTGCATACCAGGCGAGGTAGTTAACATCTCCTAGCTACCATGATGATGATGAGAGAGACACGCAAACTCCAAATATACAGCAGCAGGCGTCAGGGTCGGGATCGAACCCACGGCCTCCTGCATACCAGGCGAGGTAGGTAACATCTCCTAGCCACCGCGAAGGGACTCACTTTGATGGGGCTGAAGGGGTCCCGACCAGCCGGTCTCCGCCACCGCCGTATCGTTCAGAAACACGTACAGGTTCACCCTGAAACCACAAGTACAAAGGCAAAGAAAGCTCACACCCGACCGCCCAGGCTAGCCTTATACACAGGGCCGGATTAAGATTGTGTAGGCCACAGGGCTACAGGTACTGCGAGTGCCCCCAGTAATATTATTTCGTTCTATCCGTAAAGTCACGTAGGTAGAAAAAAATAATAGACGACTTTATCGAAAGAACCAAATAGTATGGATGCCTGCAGTCACGAAAGCTTCAAATCAAGATTGGACCCTCCCCCCCCCCCCAGTAATATTTTCCAAAGGGAAAACAAAGTTGAAAAAAAAAATACAATTTATTTTTTTACAAGGCTAACAAAACAAATACAATTCGGCATTCGCAAATGAAATAACTTTTTACTTAATCTCTGGAGGCCCTCTAAGCTGCAGCCCCTAAAGCCCCCACGGCCTTGATCCGGCCCTGCTCATACGGACTGTTTTGGGCGGGTTTGGGGAGTGCTGTCAGCGAGCACCCGTCAAGGCAGACAAGGGGTAGGGGTGACCTCACACCTATGAAGAGGTGGTCAACAACCACGCGCTGGCTTGCCCGACCTCCCTCCCTCCCCCCTCCCCCATTGCGTCCTCAACACTGGTGCCGACGATTGACAAATCGCACACCGCACCAGGTTGCTCATTTGTAAGGCAGAGTCTACCTGGGGAGATGGTGGGGGGGGAGGGGGCTAGTGGCAGTGTAAGTCGCCCCTAGGATGAGGTGGGGGGAGAGGAGACTGGGAGGTGGCGATATTGCTGTGAAATTATAACTCGAGCCATCTTGTGGGTGGTAGTCGGGGGTTATTTATTTTGCTGCTAGCGTTAGGATGTTCGGCCACAATACCGGTTACATTTCTTGTATTAGTATTCAGTTATAGTGTTTGCGTTGAATATTTGAGTGAGGGAGGGCGGGGGGGGGTCAGTGGGGGAGAGTACAGAGTTTAAAAAATAAAGTCAAGTTTTTTTTTGTATTGACTTAAAGACAACTCGGTGTGCCTGTGTGTCTGTCTCCGTGTCTGTCTGTGTCTGTGTTGTCTCTATGTGTGTGTCTCTGCTTGTATGTTTGTCTTTGTCTCCGTGTCTGTGTTTTGTCTCTCTCAAATTCAGCAATCTTTGGAAGAACGTATTCAACCAGGTGGGGTGTTGACTGTTACGTTAGCCGACTCATTATATTTCTAAGTTTACTAGGCTTGTTTTCTCCTTCAATCGTACCTGATGATGATTGCTTGTGTTGAAATCGAAACGTCGTATGCTATTATTTAAATTTATTTTTCTCTCTACGTAACTTTACCGAAAGAAGCAAGGGGAACAACGTATAAACACAACTTGCTTTAAAAAAAAACAAAAATCACAATTGGTGATATGACCAGGAACGTCATGATGATTGCGTACCAGAAAAATAAAAAAAGTGGAAGGGGTGAACATTTTTATTAAATAAATAAAAAAAATCTCACCGGTAGAAGGCGCTTGGGTCCAGCAAGGGATTGCAGTTCACGTCGCCGGGATTCGACTCCAGTTTCTTGACGCAATCCTCCGCGCCGAGGCGAAAGAGGTCACCCGGCTGGGCAGCTGCCGCCCTCTGGCCGGGCTCCACCATGGCCCTCCACCGGAGCCGCACGGCGTCGCTTAGCGGCGCGACGGGGCGAGACCCCGAGCCGCCCGGCGGACTCGCGGCGGCCTCGCCGCCGGTCGCGCGCGTCGGCGGCGGTTCATCGGTGACCGTCGGGACGCGATCCGCGGAGCGGGCAAAGTCGACGAGGACGGGAAACCAGCGCGTCAACACCGCCGTGCCGTTCCGCAGCAGCTCCTCATCCTCGGCAGCGCCTGGGGCGGCGGCGTCGTCCCGCACGCCGCCGCCGCCGTCTCTCAAAGCCCCCAGGGAGTTCAACATCGCGGACGTTCTGCCCAGCAGCGGTACGGCGCGCTCGCTGGTCAAGTTCCCGTCGCCGGTGGCCGTGAGCCTCTGTAGGTCGCCCAGCAGCGCCGTCAGGTTGCCCAGCAGCTCGGCGCGGCTCGCGGTGACGCCCGCCCCGGTGGACGCGAGCCTCGGCGGCGGCGGCGGCGGCGATCCTCCCGAGGTAGCGAGGGCCACCGGGGCGGCGGTCGTGGCGGAAAATGAAACGGCCACGCGCGTCGCCTGCGGCGTGGGCCAATCCCGCGCGATCTGGCGTCCGTCGGCACTCCCGGCCAGAGCTCGCTCGGGCCGAGACGCCGGTGGCGGCGACCTCTCGCCCGCCGCCGCCGTCGCTCCGACACCGACGGCTCTCGTGCTCAGCGCCTCGACCTGCTCCGCGGTCAATCGCAGCCGCTCACCAACCTCGGCCAGCCTCGAGGCGGCGGTGAGGTTCGCCGTGGCGTTGGCCTGGCCGAAGAAAGCGGCGACGGTGTCGAAGCCGAGGCCCAACTCGCGGCTGAGATTTGTGAACGCGGCGATCTGCTCCGGCGTCAAGCCGCCGACGTCGCTAGCAAGAACGCCGACGTCGCCGCTGGGAAACTCGCGACTGCCGTTAACCGCCGATGCGCGGACCGGCAAGAGCCAATCCTCGGGGCGCAGTACGCAGCTGGGCAGCGGCAGCGTGGCCACCACGTAGGTGGCGTTGGTGGCGCTCCCGTTGGAGACGCGCATCTGGTAGCCGGGGATGACCTCGGGGCGACTGATGTCTGCACACAGAGCGAGCGAGAGAGAGAAAGAGAGAGAGATAGAAGGGGATTATTCAAGGGGACCCCCCGGTCATGGACGATTTGCTTGCGGTGTGGTTTTCTCGCGTGGCGTTTCGCCGCGAGGAATTTTTTTTTTAAATCGGGGAAACTTTATCCTCTTTGGTTCTTTCGATAAAGTCGCGTAGAAATAAAACACATTTAATAATGGAATACGACGTTTCGATCGCAACACAAGCAATCGTCATCAGGCAGAAAACAAAGCTAGTGAACTTAGAAACGCAATCTTGATGCGAGGTTTTTCCGTAACTGCAGGAATCCACACTCTTTGGTTATTTCGGTAAAGTCACGTAGGCAGGGAAAAGAAAAAAATAATAAATCACGACGTTTCGATCGCGACGCAAGCAATCGTCGTCAGACAGAAAGCCACAGCAGCAGAACTGCTGAACAAGAGAGTGCTTTTGCAACCAGAGGTTATACCGGTAGGAACGATGTTGTAAACCGAGTGTACCAGCCTGCAATAGATTATTGTGTCCGTCCGTCCGTCCCCTTTCAAAAGCCCCATACTACCGTATACCGGGAAACAATTCCTCATTTTAAAATGCAATTGTTGTAATTTTTCGGCCCAGCCCTTAACGATTTTATGATACATCGCTCCAAAATGAGCAGATTTCAGTCAATAAGGATTTCACCATTCCATTACTCTACAGAGGTTAATTTGTCCGAAGAACCCTCAACGATTTTGAGGGCAAAAAGGTCGGAAGACGCTCTCAATTTGCACAATTTTACGTAACAATGTCATAAAATTGCGCAAAATTCCAATGTTCCTACCAGCCCACCCTGCAGGGACCTGTTACACAGGTTTGAGGTGGCCGTCACCCAAGGCCAAGTAGGTGGGGGTCCAAGATGGAAATACAATGCCATACAACACAACACAGAGAAGTCTGCTAACACAACAGTCGGCACCTTACCTGCTGACCGAGAGAGACACGACACACAGACAGAGAGACACACACCACAGAGACAACACAGCGAGAGACACAGACACACACACAAACTTTTATCCTGCTAGCTGGACGGGGTCGGCCTTCCTCACCAGGTTCGGGGACGATGGATGCGCTGGAGCTGGTGACCGCCACGCGTAGCGAGTAGCCGCCCGTGCCGTTGGCTTTGGGCAGCAGGAGTTGGACGCAGCGGGGCAGCACGAGCAGCAAGGAGCGGCTGCTCAGCGCCGCCAAATACACGGACGCGTCCGCCTGCGTCACGGGCATACCTGGAGATTTTACAAACAAAAGTCGGTCGCGCTCGTTCACCCAGCCAGCCGCTCGTTCACCCATCCACCCACCCAGCCGCTCGTTCACCCACCCGTTCACCCAGCCAGCCAGCCGCTCGTTCACCCACCCACTCGTTCACCCAGCCAGCCAGCCGCTCGTTCACCCACCCAGCCAGCCGCTCGTTCACCCACCCAGCCAGCCGCTCGTTCACCCACCCAGCCAGCCGCTCGTTCACCCACCCACTCGTTCATCCACCAACCCACCCACTCGTTCATCCACCCACCCACCCACTCGTTCACCCACCCAGCCGCTCCGACATCTCGCTCTCTCGACCGACTTCACTCCCGTTACCCAACAAACCACAGACCCCCCCCCCCCCCCCCCCGTATAGCCTGAACAGACTGTTGGGGCAAGTGCTGTCAGGGAGTAGCAACCTACGAAGGCCGGCACGGCACACGAAGGGGCGAGAGGGGTGGCCAGAACCACGCCCGGCCGCCTTTGTCTCCCAAATGGCGACGTTTACACATCGCGCCAGGACTCATTTCAGGCCGAGTCGATCTAGGGGGGGGGGAAGCCCAGTTCCGGTTCAGCTAATAACCGTCGCTGGTGTTGGTGGCCGTGAGCGGGAATCGAACTCGGCTCGCCAGGTTCGTCGCACGGCGCGCTAACCGCTGCACCACCGCTCCCCACACGAGTCCATCCCCTCACCCAGCAGCCACGAATCCATCCATTGTTGTGTGGAGGACTCCAGGAGACGCACAACGCTCAAAGTCTCTCGATGCGACGATCCACCCGGGTTCCATGATCAGAGGCCTCCCACTCGTCTAATCAGTGTCCCAACGTGACCGCGATAAAGTAAAATCGATTACCACATCACAAGTTATCTAGTTATGATGCTGCTGAAGCTGCGTTGGCAGTAGTGCGTGCAAACACAATAACACTCATTGGTTAACGTATGCACGTTGAACTTCTTTCGCACCGTACGTAGCCAACCGTGCTAATCGATTGTGCGGGGCGGGGTGAGGTGGGACAAACTAATCACAAAAATCAGTTATAAATAAATTAGTGTTCGAGATTTTCAAGCGCATAGCTCCAATGGCTTCCTAATATCGGCAGTGCAGAGCGTTCCAGACGGCCGTAGGAGCGCATCCGAAAGTGCGCGATGCAACGCCGTGGCCTTGAAAAGGTGAAAGTATATAAAATAGGCGACGTTTCGGGCAATGGCCCTTCTTTATTAGGACGAAGGCCCATCTCCCGAAACGTCGTCCATCTTATACACTTCGCCTTTTAAGGCAACCGCGTTGTCGGTGACGAATGGGGTTGCGTGTTATGGATTGCGCACCACTAATACACAGCGCGGCACCTACAAACATTTTGGTTTAATTTATTTTAAAAAAAAAACACAAAAATATAAAGGCCCGGGGTGGATCGTTGCATCGCAAGACTGCTCCTGCAGTGGCGGCAGACGGCACTTACTCAAATGGATTCGAGTGGCGTTGGCTTCGACAGAAGAAGAAGAAGAAGCGTGTGGACTCATCACCGTCACCAGCATCATCGGACCCATCATCCGCAGCAAGCGAAGCGCGTTCATATTCAACAATTTCAACGACGAACCCAAACCCGTGGGGTCACAAAATCTGAATTGCCGCTCAGCCACCCCTCCCCGCTGGTCACTCTGCCGCTCCAGCTCCACTCTCCCACGCGTCTCCTCCTCCCCTCCCTCTATTTATCACGTCGCTCTGCGCGGGCACGCAGATCTAGAGATGAGAGTCACCCTCACGCGTGATCAGCCCTAATTACCACGAGCCCTCATTGTCTATTAACTCCCTCCCGCCTCTCACCCCTCCCCTCACCCCTCCCCTCACCCCTCCCCCCGCCCCCCCCTCACCCCCCTCCCCCTCCCCCCGCCCCTCACCCCTCCCCTGCCCCCTCCGACCCCCCCCGCCCCCCCCTCCGACCCCTCCGCCCCCCCTCCGACCCCCCCGCCCCTCCCGCCCCTCCCACCCCTCCCACCCCTCCCACCCCACACCCCCAACCGCCCCCCCCCGCCTCCTCCCACGCCCCCCGCCCCTCCCCCCCCCCCGCTTCCTCATCCCCCTCCCACCCCCCCTCCCATCCTCACCCCCCCCTGTCACCCCCCCCTGTCACCCCCGCCCCCTCCCACCACCCCCCCTCCCATCCCCCCCTCCCACCACCACCCCCCTTCCAACCACCCACCCACCCCACATCAATTCCACAGGGAGGAAGCAATCAAACAATCAACGCCCCCCATCGATCATTCATTTATTTATACACACATACACACACATACACACACACACACATACACACACACATACATACACACACACACGCGCGTGCGCGTGGTAAACGGAGGGAGGACGGCGGTGCCTCTCGCATCATTTCAACTTGCCAACTAACCGGCGAATCAATCGATTCGTCGCCTAAGTGGCACCCACTCCAGGGCCCGCTGCGCTCGAGGTGCGGTGCACATCTCACGCGCGGGTAGTCCGCCAGCAACCCAGACAATCTCAGCCCGGGAATGAGCCCCGGGCATCAATCAGATGTCGGCAGGCGAAGCCGCGTCGAGTGCCGGACGATGCCAACGATTTGGCGACCCGCCACGCGTGCCTAGCCCGTGTGTGACACGGCGCTGCCGCGTGCTCTACGAGGGGAGGGGTGGGGACAGCAGCGATACCAGCTCGGCGGTTCCATTGTTGCGCTGCACCGCGCCTCCTTGGGTCCACGTCCATGCCTCCCACAGCCCGCTGGTGGCCTTTAGGCGTGGCCCATGAGGTGCAATGTACATCACTACTTCACACCGTACATCAGTGCTCTCAATATTATTTGGGTCTTTCGGTAAAGTCGCGTAGATGGTGCAAAGCAAATTGTTATTTTCTTTCAAAGAATATGAATTAATGCGGTCACGAAAGCTTTGAGTCACGTGCCCATCGTTGCAAGGCCACGCGGGACCACTAGCGGCCCCTGATGGTGGCCTTCAGTGCGGCCCCCTGACGTGCGACCCCCCAACGACACAAAACACAAAGAGTGACACCCCCCACCCCCCCCCCCCCCATCATCGTCGTCGTTCTGCTGTCAAACCCCGCAATGGTTTTAAATGGTGTGGCGGCAGCCTCACGCTACTGACGCTGTCCCATCGGCGAAAGTTTCCCCCCCTCTAAAAATTAGTGAAAAACACTGCTCTGTATATTTACACGTGTGTGTGTAGCCACGTGCGTGTGTAGCCACGTGTGTGTGTGTGGAGCCACGTGTGTGTGTGTGAAGCCTCGTGTGTGTGTGTGTGAAGCCACGTGTGTGTGTAGCCACGTGCGTGTGTAGCCACGTGCGTGTGAAGCCACGTGCGTGTGTAGCCACGTGCGTGTGTGAAGCCACGTGCGTGTGTAGCCACGTGCGCGTGTGTAGCCACGTGTGCGTGTGTAGCCACCTGTGTGTGTGTGGAGTCTCGTGCGTGTGTGTGTGTGTGGTGTGTGTGGTGTGTGTGTGTGTGGTGTGTGTGGTGTGTGTGGTGTGTGTGTGGTGTGTGGTGTGTGTGTGGTGTGTGTGTGTGGTGTGTGTGGTGTGTGTGTGTGGTGTGTGTGTGGTGTGTGTGTGGTGTGTGTGGTGTGTGTGGTGTGTGTGGTGTGTGTGTGTGTGGTGTGTGTGGTGTGTGTGGTGTGTGTGTGTGTGGTGTGTGTGGTGTGTGTGTGTGGTGTGTGTGTGTGTGGTGTGTGTGTGGTGTGTGTGGTGTGTGTGTGGTGTGTGTGTGTGTGGTGTGTGTGGTGTGTGTGGTGTGTGTGGTGTGTGTGGTGTGTGTGTGGTGTGTGTGGTGTGTGTGTGGTGTGTGTGTGGTGTGTGTGTGTGTGTGTGTGTGTGTGTGTGTGTGTGTCTGTGTGTGTGTGTGTGTGTGTGTGGTGTGTGTGGTGTGTGTGTGTGTGGAGTGTGTGTGCAATGTGTGTGTGTGGAGTGTGTGCGTGTGGTGTGTGTGGTGGTGTGTGGTGTGTGTGGTGTGTGTGTGTGGTGTGTGTTGTGGTGTGTGTGTGGTGTGTGTGTGTGGTGTGTGTGGTGTGTGTGGTGTGTGTGTGTGTGTGTGTGTGTTGGTGTGTGTGGTGTGTGTGTGTGGTGTGTGTGGTGTGTGTGTGGTGTGTGTGTGGTGTGTGTGTGTGGTGTGTGTGTGGTGTGTGTGTGTGTGGTGTGTGTGTGGTGTGTGTGTGTGGTGTGTGTGTGGTGTGTGTGGTGTGTGTGTGGTGTGTGTGGTGTGTGTGGTGTGTGTGGTGTGTATGTGTGTGTGGTGTGTGGTGTGTGTGTGGTGTGTGTGTGGTGTGTGTGTGGTGTGTGTGTGGTGTGTGTGGTGTGTGTGTGTGGTGTGTGTAGTGTGTGTGGTGTATGTGGTGTATGTGGTGTGTGTGGTGTGTGTGTGTGGTGTTTGTGGTGTATGTGGTGTATGTGGTATGTGTGGTGTGTGTGTGGTGTGTGTGTGGTGTGTGTGTGTGGTGTGTGTGTGGTGTGTGTGGTGTGTGGTGTGTATGGTGTGTGTGGTGTGTGTGTGGTGTGTGTGTGGTGTTTGTGGTGTGTATGTGGTGTTTGTGGTGTGTGTGTGTAGTGTGTGTGGTGTATGTGGTGTATGTGATGTGTGTGTGATGTGTGTGTGTGGTGTGTGTGTGGTGTGTGGTGTGTGTGTGTGGTGTTTGTGGTGTGTGTGTGGTGTTTGTGGTGTACGCGTTCGTCACTGCAAGGCCACCGTGGGCCATTGACGCGGCCCCTGGTGGCCTTCAGTGCGGCCCCTGACGTGCGCCCCCCCCCCCCCCCAACTCGACAAAACACAAAGGGTGACAACAACAACCCCCCACCACCACCACCATCATCATCGTGCTGCTGTCTAACCCCCAATGGTTTCAAATAATGTGGCGGTCCTCACTCACTTACTGATGATGTCTTATCGGAGAAAGTGCCCCCCCTCTGAAAATTAGTGACGCACGCTGAGATCAATGTGTTGTTGTTTATTGTTATTTATTATTGTCTGTTGCTAGTCTGTTTATTGTTGATGATTGTTGGTTGTTTATTATTGGTTGTTGGTTAATTGTTGTTTATTGTTGTTGTTTGGTAATTGTTGTTGGTTATTGTTGTTGGTTGTTGATTATTGTTGTTGGTTGTTCATTGTTGTTGTTGATTATTGTTGTTGGTTGTTCATTGTTGTTGTTGGTTGTTCATTGTTGTTGGTTGTTGTTGTTGTTGTTTGTTCTTGATTATTGTTGGTTGTTGTTGTTTGTTATTATTTGTTCTTGCTGATTGCTGTGTATCGTTGTTGGCTGTTGTTTGTTAATTGTTGTTGGTTGTTGTTTGGTAATTGTTGTTGGTTGTTGATTATTGTTGTTGGTTGTTCATTGTTGTTGGTTGTTGATTATTGTTATTGGTTGTTCATTGTTGTTGGTTGTTGTTGTTGTTTGTTCTTAATTATTGTTGTTTGTTGTTATTTGTTCTTGCTGATTGCTGTGTATCGTTGTTGGCTGTTGTTCATTGTTGTTGGTTGTTGTTGTTGTTGTTGTTGTTTGTTCTTAATTATTGTTGTTATTTGTTCTTGCTGATTGCTGTGTATCGTTGTTGGCTGTTGTTTGTTGTTGTTGGTTGTTGTTTGTTAATTGTTGTTGGTTGTTGATTATTGTTGTTGGTTGTTCATTGTTGTTGGTTGTTGATTATTGTTATTGGTTGTTCATTGTTGTTGGTTGTTGTTGTTGTTTGTTGATTATTGTTGTTGGTTGTTCATTGTTGTTGGTTGTTGTTGTTTGTTCTTAATTATTGTTGTTTGTTGTTATTTGTTCTTGCTGATTGCTGTTTATCGTTGTTGGCTGTTGTTTGTTGTTGTTGGTTGTTGTTTGGTAATTGTTGTTGGTTGTTGATTATTGTTGTTGGTTGTTGATTATTGTTGTTGGTTGTTCATTGTTGTTGTTGTTGTTGTTTGTTCTTAATTATTGTTGTTTGTTGTTATTTGTTCTTGCTGATTGCTGTTTATCGTTGTTGGCTGTTGTTTGTTGTTGTTGGTTGTTGTTGTTGTTGGTTGTTGTTGTTGTTTGTTCTTGATTATAGTTGGTTGTTGTTGTTTGTTGTTATTTGTTCTTGCTGATTGCTGTTTATCGTTGTTGGCTGTTGTTTGTTGTTGTTGGTTGTTGTTGTTGTTGGTTGTTGTTGTTGTTTGTTCTTGATTATAGTTGGTTGTTGTTGTTTGTTGTTATTTGTTCTTGCTGATTGCTGTTTATCGTTGTTGGCTGTTGTTTGTTGTTGTTGGTTGTTGTTGTTGTTGGTTGTTGTTGTTGTTGTTTGTTCTTGATTATAGTTGGTTGTTGTTGTTTGTTGTTATTTGTTCTTGCTGATTGCTGTTTATCGTTGTTGGCTGTTGTTTGTTGTTGTTGGTTGTTGTTGTTGTTGGTTGTTGTTGTTGTTGTTTGTTCTTGATTATAGTTGGTTGTTGTTGTTTGTTGTTATTTGTTCTTGCTGATTGCTGTTTATCGTTGTTGGCTGTTGTTTGTTGTTGTTGGTTGTTGTTGTTGTTGGTTGTTGTTGTTG